TGCATTTCTATACTGATTCATGGGGTGTAGCCAATGATTTGGGTGCATGGACAGGGATTCAGAAGAAGCATTATAAAATTGATAACAAAGAAATCTGAGGATACGGTATGTGAATGGATCTCTCTGAATGGTCTAAAATTGTGAAGATATTTGTATCCCATGTGAGTGCTCTATGACAGGTGACCTCAGCAAAGGAGGATTTTAATAATCAAGTGGATAGGATGACTTGTTCTGTGGACACCACTCAGACTCTTTCCCCAGCCACTCTTGTCATGGCCCAATGGGCCCATGAACAAAGTGGCCATGGTGGCGGGTACAGAGATTATGCATGCACTCAGCAACATGGACTTGCACTTGCCAAAGGCTGACCTGGCTACTGTCACTGCTGAGTGACCAATTTGCCAACAGCTAAGACCAACACTGAGCTCTTGATATGACACCATTCCTTGGGCTGATCAGCCAGCTACCTGGAGGCAAGTTGATTACACTGGACCTCTTCTATCATAGAAAGGGCAGAAGTTTGTCCTCACTGGAATAGACACTTACTCCAGGTATGGGTTTGCCTATCCTGCACACAATGCTCTGCCAAGACTACCATCTACAGACACACAGAATATCTTATAAACTGTCATGATATTCCACATAGCATTGCCTCTAACCAAGGCACTCACTTTACGGCTAGGAAGAGCAGCAGTGGGCTCATGCTCATGGAATTCACTGGTCTTACCATGTTCCACGTCAGCCTGAAGCACCCAGATTGATAAAAGGGTGGAATGGCCTTTTGAAGTCACAATTACAATGCCAAACAGGTGACAATACTTTGCAAGACTGGGGCAAAGTTCTCAAGAAGGCCATGTATGCTCTGAATCAGTATCCAATATATGGTACTTTTCTCCCATATCCAGGATTCATGAGTCCAAAAACAAGGGGTGGAAGTGGCACCACTCACCATCACATTAGTGATCCACTAGGAAAATGTGTGTTTCCTCTTTCCACAGCATCATGTTCTGCTAGCCTAGAGGTCTTAGTTCCAGACGGAGGAATGCTGCCACCAGGAGACACAATGATTCTATTAAACTGGAGGCTAAGATTACCACCTGGACAAGTTGGGCTCCTTCTACCTTTAAGTCAGCAGGCTAAGAAGGGAGTTACAGAGTTGGCTGGGGTGACTGACCCAGACTATCAAGATGAAATCAGTCTACTACTCCACAGCAGAGGTAAGGAAGAGTACACATGGAATACAAGAGATCTATTAAGGCATCTCTTAGTATTATCATGCCCTGTGATTAAGGTCAATAGGAAACTACAGCAGCCCAATCCAGGCAGGACTGCAAATGGTCTAGGCCCCTCAGGAATAAAGGTTTGGATCATTTCACCAGGAAAAACCATGACCTACTGTGGTGCTTGCTGAAGACAAAGGGAATACAGAGTGGGTAGCAGGAGAAGATAGTCATCAGTAACAACTATGACCACATATGCAGCTGAAGATATGAGAAATGTAAGTGTCATGAACAAATAAGAAATGTCATGAGTATTTCCTCCTTCTTTTGATAAAAACATGTTTGTGCACGTATACACTTGTACTAAGAAAATATCTTCATTTTATATCCTTTATCATGTAACATAAGATTTATTGACTTCATACCAGCATTTAAGTATTGTTACTTTATGTAATAGTATTTGGGTTGAGGATTGGTGTGTTTCCAGTGGTAGGAAGGATAGTTGTATTAATGTCAGGCATAATTATGACCTTATTATTGTCTTTATTTGAAGATTATATATGATCTCAGAAGATGAGTATGAGTTCAAGTTGACAGGGGTGGACTTGTGATGGTTAATACTGAGTGACAACCTGACTGGATTGAAGGATATAAAATATTGATCCTGGATCTGTCTGTGAGGGTGTTGCCAAAGGACATTAATATTTGAGTCAGTGGGCTCAGGAAGACAGACACACTCTTAATCTGGTGGGCACCACGTACTCAGCTGCCAGCAAATATAAAGCAGGTAGAAAACTATGAAAAGGTGAGCCTCCCAGCTTATACCTTTCTCTCATGCTGGATGTGCTGGATGCTTTCTGCCTTCGAACACTGGACTCCAAGTTCTGCACTTTTGGAGCTCAGACTGGCTCTCCTTGTTCCTCAACCTTCAGACAGCCTATTGTGGGGGAGTCTGTGATCATGTGGGTTAATACTTAATAACTCCTTTATATATATATATAGGAGCAGAGTATATATATAAATTCCCTTAGCATTCAGATGGCCTATTGTGGGAGCCTGTGATTGTGTGAGTTAATACTTGATAGAGTTTCACCTTGTTGGTCAGTCTAGTCTTGAACTCCTGATTTCAAGTGATTGGCCTGCCTTGGCCTCCCAAAGTGCTGGAATTATAGGTGTGAGCCAAGAGGCCTAGCCAATATTTTGAAATTCATATTTGAAACAATAATTGATATAATATTATGAAATAATGTAGCCCACGAGCAATATTCCATTAGTTCTGTCCCACTAGAGAACCCTAACAAAACATGGCATTTAGAATAAATTATAAGAAAATATCAGAGACAGAATTAAGCTTTTGATTTATCCTATGTGTTTTTCATGACTCTTATAAAGAGAGTAGTCATTATATTTACTTGGCTTCTCCAATTATTGAAGATGGTGATAAAAGAACACAGCTGGATAGAGGAGGGGTTACAAATTTTCTGAAAATTTTCTCTGAGGATACGAATTTACTTACTGAATTTAGTTGATAATACATACATGAAGGGTAGCACTATTATAAATTTGCAATATATTATTATCTTTTCAGTTTTGAACTCCATACCAAGGTTAAATCAGGACTACTTACCTAGTAAATAAAAATGGTACACTATTTTAAAGTATTAATTTTTTGTATTGTTTTCTGAAGTAAAAATCATGGTTACTTCTTAGTAAAAATTTATTAGAATTCTTGTTCCTCAACGTATTAGAATTCTTTTTTTAATGTATTTTCTCATTAGCTAAATAATAATAACAGTGGTGTCTCTTCATTTCCCTTCATACAGTGTGTTGCCATATAGTGAAAAAATTTAATAGCAACTTTACTTGTGCCCTCATTATTGGTATGCTGTAGTCATTTTCTACTTTTCAATGACTTTGAAAATGATCTTGTACAGTAGTGGCTTCGTATTATCCAGAAAGGTACTAGGAATAAGTGTAATCTCATTATACCCACAACAACTCAGTAGAAAAATATGTAATATTCATGTAAATATCTGTGAAATAGCATAGTTGAATAGCTTCATTTTCTCTGCTGTAAGATGGTACAATTACATTTATTTTTTTAAATGACAAACTCATAAAATTATACAGTCACGATCAGCACAAATGCAGCACTGCCATTTGCGTAGGAGAAATGGGTTATAGGATAAACCTCTAATTTAGCTAATGGAATTTTGAAATAGGGCTTATAACCAAAGTGAAATTAAACACAATAGTCTTAGGACTCTATTTTATAATCACTTACACTTTTATTGCTAATTCACCTTCTTGAAGTCAGGAGTAAATACACTATTAGCTCCTAATAACTTTAGGTTTGGGTTGAATTTTAGTTTTATAAAGGATATGTAAGTGTCCAAAAGAAAGATGCACAAATATGCCAAATATTATTAGCAACACAAGAAAACAACAGATTTAAATTACAAGTTCTGATTCCTGGGTCTAATCATAATGGTTTTTGAGATCATTTGTGATATTATTAAAACTATATTTGAAATCATTTATTTTCTATTAATTAATTTGTTGACATTTAAAAAGGAAAACAGCAATAAATAATACCTTTTCTAATACTTATTAAAATCAAGGAAATATATGGATATTATGAAATCCTATATATAATGACTTAACATATTAAAATAAATATTTTAATTTTTTTTTTGTTTTTGAGACAGCATCTTACTCTGTTACCCAGGATGGAGTACTGTGGTGTGAACTTAGTTCACTGCAGCCCCTACCTCCTGGGTTCAAATTCAACCAATTATCCTGCCTCAGCCTCCCGAGTAGCTAGGATTACAGGCGCCAACACCACACTGGGCTAATTTTAATACTTTTTATTAGAGACAGGGTTTCACCTTGTTGGCCAGGCTAGTCTTGAACTCCTGACCACAAGCGATCGGCCTGCTTTGGCCTCCCAAAGTGCTGGAATTATAGGTGTGAGCCAAGAGGCCTAGCCAATATTTTGAAATTCATAATTGAAATAATTGATGTAATATTATAAAATAATGCAGACCATGAGCAATATTAAAATTTTAAAACATGAATTAAAATAATACAACTTTATAATTATTTTAAACATTAATAAAAATAATGACAGTTACCTATTATTACCAGATATTAGAAAATATGTCTCTCATGTTTGGAAAATATTAACAATAACTACAGCAACAACATGCCAAGTACCTATAGATACCTTTGCAAATCTTAGAGTATGTGTTCTTTAATTGAATTTTCAAAATATTCAAATATATTTATTTATTAATAACAGCTAAATTTTGCTTAAGATATTGTTCCAGAAAGTATGTGCAACACATTTTGTAAATTTTTTTACAATGTACTCATTTTAAAACGAGTACATTTTTTACTCATTTCTCAGAAACCTTATGATGGGAAACTACTATTTCTCACATGTTACAGATGAGAAAACTGATGCCTACAGAAGATCAATAGCCTGCCAATAAGATGTTCTAAATGGTGGTACCGGCATTTGAACCCACATTATGGCTCAGCAGTCCTCCTTCTTAACTGCTTTCCTACCATTTATAATAACTTAAGGACAATCAGGCAAATCTGTTTTGGAGGCTTGTTTCTGCAATTAACTCTATGTAGGAGACAAATTAATTAAGATTAGATCTCAAAGAATTACACAGGCAATTCCTTGTTATTATGTCATTTTTAGATGAGCTACCAGTACGAATGTAAACAAATGTATTTCAAGTATATACTTGTAAGATAAGAAGTGATTAGCCAGGTGTAGTCGTACATACCTGTAGTCGAAGCTACTCAGAGACTGAGGTGGGTGGATTGCTTGAGCCCAGGAGTTCAAGGTTGCAGTGAACTGTGATCATAACAATTTACTCCAGCCTGGGAGACGGATGAGACCCTGTCTCTTAAAAAACCCTATTAAATAAATAAAATAAGAAGTGAAATAACTATGTCTTCAAACAAAAACCAATGTTTACCTCGCTTATTTGCTAGATACCAGCCTCCAGCCTCAATAATGAATTGCTGAGTCTACATTTTCTTTCATATATTGCTGGACTAATTTTGTTACTTACAAAACACTAACTTTCTTACTTACAAGGCATTAGTGATGTCTACTAAAAATTATGACTAATTATGAGATTTAAGACAAGGTTTAGTTTAGTAGGGCCAAAGAACATTTGTTTAGAAGTGGATCTTAGAGTCTTCTTGAAGACTGACAAAGCCCTATTTCTAGAACTGGGTAGTATTACACAGACACATTGCTCTTCATCTATTAATGGTAATATGTCTATTATATACTCTCTTGAATGAGTTATATTTCACAAGTTTTAAAAAGATTTTAAGGGAAAACCCTTTATACTTCACGATAGTATTTCCAGAAATTATATTTTTGCATTTCAACTGTAAATGATTATTTTAAATTATTATAGTTTTTTAATATGAGCAGGTAAGAAAGTACATAAGGCACATTATAGCCTTCTTGTACATAAGGACAACACTTTAATGCTATGCTTGGGGACATTATAAATAGCAGAATCACTAACAAAAAGTACACATTTTTTAAAAAGTGGCATTAAACAGATCACAAATGAAAGACTTGTTCACAGAAAAACAAAATTCAAATAAAAAGACAGAACATCACCTTGTTCCATCTCAGCTGAGAATCTGCGCATTGGGTAATGTAAATTTTTTGCAGTTCTGAGCAAGTATAGAAATGAGTGTGAAAGTGCTCTAAGTACTGTTTTGTGGGTTACAAGAAAGCTTTGGCAAGCAGGCAAATTCATGAATATGGAATCTGAAAATAATGAGGTTCAACTGTATTTTTCATTTAATTTTAATAATATTAATCAAGGTAGTTTTTCCAAAGATTTGATCTTTTTTATCTACATATGCAAAGAAATTGTATTATCCAAAATTTTTATAATGCTTCTCTTCTATTCAAGTAATTAGTATTGCCTTCTTTTCTTGATGTTATCAATTGCATCTATTAGCAAAATAATATAAAATTTGTTTTACATTCAACACATTGTAATACTTCCAAAACAAAGGTTTACAGCACTAAACGTTCTTTTTAATGGTATAAATGCAATAGCCAGATAATCAGAAAAACACTATGTGACTACTGACATTCTATGATTCCAGTAACAGGATTGCTAAAAGTTAAAGGAGCACATAAAGAAGGATTTAAATTTTAACTCTTCTGCATGACATTATTTAAAATAACTCACTAGGGTATTAGGATGATTAGAAAGGTAAATAGTAGTGTAACCAGGTTTGGTTTTTGACATAAGTGGAATGAACTGTCACTTAGAACATTTGTTGTAAGGGGTAATTGAGGTGTTTATAAATATCTTCTAAGAGAGACTTCCTATATGCCCTGTTAATAGAGTAATTTATTTGATTTATCACAGAGTCATTGAAAAAGATACTCTAATAAAATGGCTATCTGGGAAGTTTGACAGCCCAACCTCCAACACCTACCATTAAAACTTTTCCAGTATTAGTTTACTATATCAATTACTAGCCACTGGTCAAGACTCTTAAAAGGTGTGATATGAAAAAATTCCTAATGAGTTTCTGAAAAAGCAAAGGTTTTCGAATCCTTGAGTGGGGGGAAATATTTGCCAAACATATATGTAACAAAGGATTGATATACAACATCAATAATATTTCTCACATTTTAAAAAAAGGCAAGTTAAACAATTTACTCAATATACTCAATATATTGAAACAAACAATATACTCAAAAAGGCACTTTTCAAACAAATATCAAATAAACATAAAATATGTTCAGCATCACTTGTCATCAAGATGATGCAATTTGAAATCACAATGAGATAAATTTACATATTCACCAGAAGAGACACATTTTTAAATGTCCACACAGCTAAATGTTGGCAGGAATGAGACATAAATGGAAATTTCATATAATGCTGGTGGAAATAAATACATTGGCTCAATTTGTTTGGAAAATTTGTAGTTGCATCTACTAATGGTAAAAATATATGCATTGTACATGACCCAGAAATTCCACGATTATAACACATGAAATGCCTAATATATATACAAAGAAACACTAAGAATGTTTATATGTTTTTCATTATTTAAAAAAATGAGAGCAATCCAGAAGTTATTCAGGAGTAGAATGAATTATTTTTTGTGTTATATAATATTATGCTACTCACCAATGAAAAATAACTACTACTATCCTCTATAATATAGATGAATATCACAAACAATAAAATAAATTCAGTTACAAAATAGCATATACTGTATATTTTCATTTATCTAATGTTCAAAAAACATATGTAACCAATATATAGTGTTAGAATCTGATTAGTTAACTTTGGGACAGATTGTGGCTGGGATGGACAGGATAGAGGTTTTGTGGATATAGGTGTGTTTTCAATTTCCTTTGCTTTTTGTGCTTTCCTTTCCATTGGGTCTGTTTTATTAAAAAGTCTATTTAAAAACAAGTTCAATAATTTTTATTTTATCAAGTTTAGTAAGTGGAAATTGTTTATTCATGGCATAATTGTTTAAATTTTAGAAATTTTAAAGAGCGTTAAGCAACCCAACTCCGGACATTCACATAATATCCCAAATTATATCTTCAGTGTAAAAGCTTTAACTCAGGTTTCTGTTAAATATTATAGCTTTTAATATAAAAGATGACAGGGTCATCATCCATCAGATATTCCCTGCAAGCTAACATCCTATACTGTAGCATTTTTCTTTAATAATGTATATTTGTTTTAGAAAATCTGCCAGGTATTTTATGTGCTATTTAGCTAGAATTACATTGGTTATAATTGACTGCATGGTCTGTGGCCTGATTCAGGACTCAATCATTCTTGACCCTGATGAAAATTTTCATAAAGCCAAGTTTTTAAGGTATAGCACTTTTTATGTATGATTTACAAAACACTTAATATTCTTATTTGGACCCTTAATTTTCTGTGCTACATAGCCTTGTTTTTTTCTAAAACTGTTATTATTTTCCTACTATAGGTACTAACTACAATTTTAATTTAAAAAAATTCTTAGGAATTCTCTTTAGGTAGAACAAAGCAATACAATGATTAATCCTAACTGAAGCAGATTATCTTCTGAACATGTGTGTGTGTGTGTGTGTGTGTGTGTGTGTGTGTGTCAGAAACACATTGACTGCAGTTTCCAAGAAAGTAGCCCATTACTCAGGCTGCTATTTTTAATCTCACATAAGTATGCACTGTTGGGTGTTGCTAATTATATAATATAGACCATAAAACTCTCTTACCTTAACTTTTTTTAAACATCTCACATCTAACTGGCAATACAGACTCTAGGAATTTTGATATGTTGTTTCTGGACACTTTTTTACTTTAGAAAAAAAGAACAAAAAATGAAACACAGAAAATGCTTATGGAAGCCCTTGTCTTTATGAATTTGTTTTCTAAATCTACATTAAAAAAATCACAGCACATTAGCTGGGCATGGTGGTGCGCTGTAGTCCCAGCTACTCGGGAGGCTGAGGCAGGAGAATTGCTTGAACCCAGGAGGCAGAGGTTGCGGTGAGCCGAGATCACGCCATTGCACTCCAGTCTGGGTAAGAAAAGCGAAATTCCATCTCAAAAAAAAAGTATATATTAAAAAAAAAATCACAGCACAGTTTTACAGGCAGTCATATTTAATAGAAATTAAGTACCTATGTAATTGGAAAAAAAAGCCTGTTCTGAATATGATTAGTAGTATGGGTAACTTAAACATCTTAGTAGAATAATGTAATTATGGTGTTAGCCAGGTGTGGTGGCTCATGCCTGAATTCCTATCATTATGGACACTGAAGCAGGAGGACTGCTTGAGTTCAGGAGTTTGATACTAGCCTGGGAAACATAATGAGACCTTGTCTCCACTAAAAATGAAAAGAATTTTTTTTTTTTTAATTAGCTGGATGTGGTGGCACATACCTCATCTCAGCTACTTGGGTTGCTGAGATGGGAGAATCACTTGGAAGTTTGAGGCTGCAATGAGCCATGATTGCACCACTGCACTCCAGCCTGGGAGGCCAGAGCAAGATTATGTCTCAAAAAATAATAATGTATTTATAGTGTTGTCTGATTTTTGTGCTGTAAAAATGTCTCTTATTTGATGTGGACTCATGAATCTCTGATGTCCATTGTTTCAATATTTTATTCCCCTGAATTACAGGTTGATTTAAACATCAATATAGACATCACTTTACTTCACTATTGTTAGGCTATTACTTTGTCACAAACATGCCTTCGACTTAAGCTTTCCTTCCCTATATTATGACTTCAGCATCCTATGCTATGTGGTTGGAAGGTGACTCACCATATTCTTTTACACTTCTTCCCTTCCTTCTTTCTCACAACATAGAAAACTTATACACAGCTCTAGAATATGTGGTACATATCTAACAACAGAAAAGAAAAAAAAATAAGACAAAATAGACTGTAAAATTGCTTACTTGGTCATGTATATAGTCTGGGTAAATGTTATAAAATGAATATATTCTAATAGTGTAAGTATTTATCTAATAATGTAAGTATTTGTTATGAGGACATTTCTTAATGTCCTCATAAGAAGTTGAAATAGTTTTATTTCATATTCATAAAATTTAATCACATCTAAATACTAAGGCATACAGGTAAAAGTGATATGGTTTGGCTGTGTCCCCACACAAATCTCATCTTAAATTCCTACATGTTGTAATTCATGCAGAGGGAGTTAATTGAATGATGGAGGCAGGTCTTTCTTGTGTCGTTCTCATGATTGTGAATAAGTCTCATGAGATCTGATGGTTTTAAAAGAGGAGTTTCCCTGCACAAGCTTTCTTCTCTTGTTTG